CGGCACAGCCTGGGACCACGGGGCTCGCCGGGAAGCCCTGGGCAACGCCGTCAAGTTGAGCTCATTCCTCCCAGCTGATGATTTACTCAAAAATATTTCTGAGGTCAATCCTCCTCGGGGGAAACACTCCCAAACGCCCCGCAAGAAGCTGCTGAGTCTGGAATAACCACACGCACCGCTCGCTCAGCTGAAAAGTCACCCCGATGACTAGCCCTGGCGTCAGAGGGACTGAGGCCAAAGTGCTGCCGTTTGATCTCCCCCTTTGCTGGGAGAAGACAAATTTCAGGCCGTTGTATGGTTTTCACCACTTCCCGGTAGCGGTTTCCTGCCATGATGTGAGCGCAGACATTTTTGGGAAGTGAGTCAGAGGCTGCAATGAAAACCACCTGGCCAGGCTGGGAGGCATGATCCCGATCCCGGGATGAGCAGAATGCCCACCGCGATGCTCGGCGCCTGCAGGCAGCATTCCCGGGGCAGAATTACTTATGGGGGGGACACTGCGTCCCACCACATCCTCCCATTTCTGGCCTGGGAAGAAGAAGAAGAAGAAGGATTTGCTGCCGCAGTTCCCACAGCTCCTCTTTCCTCACCGGGCTGGGATCGGCGTGCTCCGGCCACCCCACCCGGGCTCCGGGGAGAAACTGGGTAAAGGAGAAAGGGCAAAACTTCATCCAGCTCTGCAGGAAGCTGCCTGCAATGGCTGTCTCGCCCCAGCACCGTGTCGGTCTCATGCAATAAACCACCCCAAAGCCCCCGGCATGCACAGGGCGGCACGGAGGCTCTGGTTTTCTCCAGGGAGCAAAGCGGGACTTGGCAGAGCTTAGAAACTGCCCTCCCCGGTTGTTGAAATGCAACAAATAAAGCCAGTCCCTGGTGAAGGAACCTCCCATGTTTTCCCTGCTGGGCGTTATGATTTTTTTTCTGCTATTAAAAATGCACGACCCCCTGTAGCCCCCCCCCCCCAAACTTTACTCAACCCCCTCTCCTCGGCACTGCATCGCAGCCACTGAGTGAGACTGAGCCCGGATAAGCCTTTTCAAAGGAGCTAAACCTCCTTAAAGCCGGTGCTGTTCCCTGACCCACCCTCCTAATCCTGCCCGGCTGATAATGAAATAATAAAGGGCTGCAAAGCCTTGCTCTCCCTGCGCTGTGGGGGAGGTTTCTGCTGCCTCCATACATGCCAGGAGCTGGGATATTAATTACTCCCTAAGTAAACAGAATTGCTTCTTTCTTCTCCTTTGCCTGGCTGTAAAACCAGGTGTGACCGTCAGCCCGCAGAGCAGAGAAATCAGAGTCGCTCCCCTTTCCAGGAGAAAGGTTGGTTCTTGCAGCGATAACAGCCACCATCTCTGCCCGCTGCCCTGCCCGGGCTCCTCGGGGGCTGATCCCAACCCCGCAGCTCCACCAGCCGTCCCGGTGGGATCTGCGGGGCCGTCCCTGCGAGGCTGCTGGGCCTCTCCCCACAGGGCTGAAGCTGTGGACACTTCAGGGGAATCTCAGAAATCCGAGTGTGAGGTGGTTTTGGGGCAGAACATGTTGCGCAGCCCCTCTGAGGCAACTGCACGCAGAATTGCTACGTGGGGTCTGCTGTGCCGGTGGCTGCCCTGCAGCAGAACGCACCAACTCGTTACATCTCAGCTGGGAAAGCGAAGGGAGGTGACGACGTGAGCAGAATACATCCCCTGTGCCCAGGATGCTCTGAGCACCCCACATGACAGAAGGAATGAGGACTGGAGGATAGCGCTGGGGGGACAAAGCAGAAGTTGGGCGCACTCAGAATGGCCACAGCATCAGCCCCAGGCTGGCGTGCGAGGCTGCTGAGCAAGGAGCCAGCTGGCCCCAGGTGGGAAGGAGTTAAACAGCCCTTCTTTCTCCAGCACACCTGAATTGGATGGCAAGCCAGGAGGGAAGGGCTTTAAAAGAGAAGGGCAAGAGCAAATCCTTTCCCCAGGGGCCTGGCAAGGAGCTGGTGGGAGGCTGAGCACCCTGCAGAGGTGCAGTGCCGTGTCCCCCACTCTGTTCTGCACCCCCCCAGTGCTGGGTCTCCCTCCCCACCCTCAGGGTATGTCCCCACTTACTCCCCGTTCCTGGGTGCTGCTCTGGGGTTTCTCCCTGCAGCTTCGACTGCCCTCACCAGGGTGTCCCCGCAGGATTCTGTCCCTGCTGTCCCCTCCTTCCTTGGGGTGTCCCTGCTGCCCTGGGAGCTGCCATTTCTCTGGCGGGTGCAGGAGGAACCTCAGGAAGCAGCCAACTTTCATCCCCAAAATAGTTTGCCCCCCCAATTCTTTTTTAGACTCTTCCTTTTGAAGTACAAAGGCAGCAACTTGTGACAAGTGAATGGGATCAGCGCGATGCTGTGATCGCTGCACCTCGCAGGGCAGCAGAGGCTGTCACTAAATGCACGCTGGCACGCATGGCCAAGGCAGAGCCCAGCCTGGGGTGAGGGGTGCCGGTGAGGGGGGGGGGAGGCGGGCTGCCTGGCAGACGGATGCTGCCGGTTCATCCCAAGCTGCAGGGTTATCGGCAGCCTGAAGGCCGGATTAACATCGCATGCCCGGCTGCACTGCCTTCTCCGAGTGAATCCCGGCAGCTGATGCTGTTAGCTCTTGCTTTGCCTTACACTGCCGTTGGGGAACGAGCAAGGACATGGGACTGCAGCTGGAATAGCCTCTGCCAGGACAAGGGATGGAGGAAGGACCTGCAGGGGACAGAGGGGACCTGGAGGGGCACCAGAGATCCAACAGGGCCCACAGGCAGCTGTGGTGGCAACAAACCGGCTGCATGTGGGAGAGGTGTCTGGTGCCACACTGGATCTACCCCTGCAACAAGCACAGGGGGTAATGGCTGTGCCACGGCTCCCCGCACCCCACCAGCACAGGCACCGTGGGCGCCGTGAGGTAAATCTTGACCTCGTCCAGCTGCACCACGCAACTCCACAGCCCGTTTCACTGTGCTTGTGGCTGGTCTCCACAGGGCTGCAGCTGTGATGGGGGATCCACGCTGAGCCCTGCGGCCTGATCCTGCTGCGGAAGCAAACCCAGGTGGCTGGTGAGGTGAACAGGGGACCCTCCTGCCTTCTACACCAGGTAAATACCCGTGGGGCTTGTCCTAAGTGATTGTGAAAGGGGATGTGGGGATGGATCCACACTGCAGGGACAAATACATGTCACCAGGTATGGTGAAGGGAGACAAAACTTGCCATCTTGGTGTTCAGGGGGTGCATCAGTGGCATACAGAAGGGACAGTGATGCATTTGTATCTTATTTGCATTGAGATGCTGCATCTTAACAAAGGCTGAAGAGAGACACTCTTTAATGAAGTGTTCAGCGGAAGGGGACTGACAGCGATGCTGCAGCTCCCAGCTAAACATGAAATGTTTCTGACAGGAGCCATCGCCAGAGGCACCACCGCTGTCACATACCCAACGCCGAGCGGCTGGCACGCACCAGAGCAGCCTGGCAGCAGGGAGATGCTACTGAATAACAGAGGCATACATTCTCTACGTCCTCAACGAAGCTCACTGTGACGTCCCTCCTCTTAGCCAGGAGAAAACAAGCCAAGGGTTGTTCAGCCTGGAGAAGAGAAGACTCCAGGGAGACCTTATAGCAGCTTTGCAGTACCTGAAAGGTGCCTACAAGAAAGCTGGAGTGGCACTTTTTACAAGGGTATGTAGCGATGGGACGAGGGGTAATGCCTTCAAACTGGAAGAGGGGTGATTTAGATCAGTTATCAGGAAGAAATTTTTCGCTATGAGTGTGGTAAGACGCTGGAACAAGTTGCCCCGAGAAGCTGTGGCTGCCCCATCCCTGGAGGTGTTCAAGGCCAGGTTGGATGGGGCTTGGAGCAACCTGGGCTGGTGGGAGGTGTCCCTGCCCAGGGCAGGGGGGTGGGACTGGATGATCTTCAAGGTCCCGTCCAACCTAAACCATTCTATCTATGATGGCTTTACACAACATCTTAGAAAACTGTGGGGAAAAGCCTCTCCCTCCAGGGAGCACAAAGCGATTGGGGACAATCCCAGTGATGAAATTAACGCCGTCTGCCTTCCCTGCGATACAAAAGCATGCTCCTTGTGCCTGGAAAGGTCAGCACAGACCTCTGCCAGATGAGCTGAAGCAGAAGTTTTCCGCTTAGATAAGCGCCTGTACCTGAGAAGGACTTTGTCCTCGCATCCAAGGAGCCCGGAGGAACCTCAGAGACCCTGACAATCAGCGTTCCCTTTGGCAAAGGGTGCAAGGTGTAGCTCCAGCAGCACCTCCTCAGGGCCACCATCGCGGCACTGGGGTGCTGAGGGGAACCCTAGGCCTAGAGTGCGGCCTGGCCCCACAGGGGTGGGGGTATGGCTGACAGAACCCTTCATGGAGCTCCGGGGGGTTCAGGTTTAAGCTATGCTGGGCGGGAGGCCGCAGGCCTCCCCCCGGTGGGGCGGGGAAG